AAACTAGACAAACGCTTAGTCTCTAAATATATATAAGTTTGATAGTAACAAACAGACCCATATAATTTGAAAAGGAACCCCAGGGAGACAGACTTGCTTCATTTAGGGCTTTAGCATTGCAGAGAGGGCTTGGTAGTAGGAAAATAATATGGTTCAGGGACTGTGAGACAGACTACCTATAAACATAAGCATAGAGGTGGGTTGGCACACTGGAAAGGCCACATAGCACAATCATGTACTGTTTTGTTTTTATGGTGAAATATTCTATGAGTATTTGTAAGCAGGGAACGCATAGCAATTGTGTTTATTTTGCCTATTGTGCTCAAACACTCTGCTCATCTGGAGATCCAAATTTATACACAAATGGGAAAAACACCCGTCAAACACACATTGGAAAGATTTGTGAAATCTGCAAACTCCATTTTAGCCTCCAGAACTGATCAGAAACTATTGCTCAAATATCTGAACATTGTTTTCTTGTCAAATGTGGGAAGTTTCATACTGGTGACTATGAGGTATGAGACAGAATGTGTGACTGAGTGAGTTAGTGAGCTTAGTTTTACGCTGCTTTTAACAATATTCCAGCAATATCACGGTGGGGGGACACCAGCAATGGGCTTCACACATTGTACCCATGTTGCGAATCAAACCCGAGTCTTCTGCGTGACGAGCGAACACATAAGCCATTAGGTTACGCCATCACCCCTACAAAATGGGTGAAATGGTGGATTCTCTGAAGCTTTTTTCTCAGGCTGTCAACCGACAGCCCTGTAATTACCTCTCACTGCTTGAACCGTCTTCTACATTCTACAATCATGTCACATATACAATAAAGCCAGTCAGTCTCAGTGAACTGGCTAATGCCAAGATCTATAACACAAGTGGACATGTAATGGTGGTAACTAACAGAGCATACCTTGACCCACTCAGCCCTGCTAATGGACAGTTCCCAGTAATGACCTTCAGTGACTCACCCTCAACAGGTGGAGTAGAGTCGGTCCATCACCCTCCCTCCCTTGCACACCTGTGTGGGGGTAGCCTTTACGTCACCCACCTGACAACAGGTAGAGATATTTCCCTAACGAGTCAATCACAGAACATGACAGGTGTGAGGACACAAAACAGTATCAGACTTCTCCTCCCACAACGCTGAATGCAGATTGCATGATACTGTGAAATGTTACAAAAAAACTACACTGTATCAATATCTTAACACAGACAATTCTCTGTAACATCTGTCCACATAATTTCACATGTGTTATGGAAATATATAATATGTCTGTGTGTAAATGTGTCAGGATGTAACAATTTTAGAGTTATATCGGTCATAAAATTGTTTTCAGAAAGCAAAACATGTTTGTTTTTCTATTGTCTTGTTTACAGGAAAGTCTTCCCTAAAAATGGCATAAATAAAACATAATTTCAAAAAATAGAATTTAATTGAAACAGTAACAAAAACTCTTTTGCTTGTGTGTTTGTAAAGAATTATATCTAAACTGTTTTGGTATCAAGAACTTCAGAGTTCCATAAACCACTGACTACAACACTACCAGTACAACATGATCTAATGTCATCTTTGTTCAACATGATCATCAACTCTGACCATCAACTCTGACCATCAGCTCCGGTCATCAGCTCCGATCATCACTGAATACACATTTACATGTGCACAAATGAAGTCATTCAATGGCATGTTTGATCTTTAGTTAAACCACTGCGCTTTCAGCATTTACAAATACAGTGCCAAAAGCAATAAGCATGAATGGCACTTGGGTGAGACTCCCGATATACCTGATGACCCTGTCCCTAGTTGTAACCATACATTCCCTACAACTGCCTCCGATATCTAGCCTGCTGCTTGGCTGGCCAGCCAATCCCACACACTCTAAACACCACTACTAGAGGAGGAGGAGATCTCCTTCACACGGCCAATATCACTCACAATAAGCTTCAAAATATTTGTGCATATTTGTACATGTGTGAGAGTAGAAACTAGGTAATTCCCCAGCAAACATGCTTTTTCAACTGCATAATACCCAAGTGACAAGACAACGACAGCTTCGGCCCTGTTAATCCGTGACCTCTCTCAACCAGCATGGCCGGCTTGACCATGTCCCTTCCTGAGACTTAGCTGGACGATGTGAGGCGGGCTAAGCAAAGGCAACAATAGACATCCACCTACTTCTAACTGCCATGACAACGTCTGAATGGTCACATCTACCTGGCAAAGTGGAGCCTTCACAATTTACATGCTTGCTTAATTAGCTGTGTGGAAGAAGATCGCTTGTAAAAACGTGATGCTAACAAAACTCTGGTTGGTGATTCAAGATGCTTCATCAATCAGATGAGCTATACTTCGTGATAAAAACATGGATATGGGACAAAGAGCGTTGGTTTGTGCAGCAACCACGCATCTGTGTTTGTCAGCTGATGGACACTGACAAACGTTACCACAAACTGACAAACGTTACCACAAACAAACCATTTAAAGCTGTTAATTGAGGAATCCAATACCTTGAATCTACCTGGAACTGTCAATAGTACATGTTGGACACACCCTTAATAAGCTTATCCTCAAACATTAAGTTTTATATATTTACAAATGGTTCACCCTCAAGGTACAATGGACAAATGTGTGTCCATAACAAGGTGTCCTTCATCAGTGACCTCTGCAGCCGAGAAGCTGGTAATTATATTGTCTGGTGTCAAACATATTAGTGTCATTTGGAAGCAGAAAATCAACAGATAACCATTTTCACAGAATTGACTTCCGCCATTGGTTCCTGTCAATAACTTCTTCGGAAAGGATTCAATTATCCTTTCTTATTTGTAAACTTTTTTTTGCAAGAACTACTAGACACCACCCAATGCAAATGAATGGCACCTAGCATGGGGTTTTCATCAAATACATGTGTGTGTTGTCATAATAATTAAGAATCATGTGTTCCTTTCTACCAAGAACTCAAGTTCTAACTACTTAGCAAAATTAGATATACCACACTTGAACTATCCTGAGTCTATGACAGGCTATACTCTTTCAGCAACCAAAATAACTTGGCTGAAGTCTCTAGGGGAGAATAGATTCAAGTCGTTATTCCGTTTTATGTCCCATTACATCATATTTCAACATCACCATAGAAAAACCACAGTACATAATTGTGCTATGTGGCCTTTAATGTGTGCCAACCCACCTCTATACTTAAACATAACAAAATATAAATAATCAGCTTTTTTAATGTTGAGTTTTTAAAGAAGGCCACTGCTCAACAGTCTCTAGCCTAGTACTGGTTGTGATGTCAATTGTCTAATTACAGCAGTAATCGATCAATAAACGATTATAATCGTAAACCCCCACCACAAAACTCATGTGGGCAATAACGAGAGACAATCATAAAATTATGCAAAAAATGCAGGTACTGAATGATACTATGATCAAGACAAACGAGGCTACTTCCTGTTGAGACAGGCACACGAGTCTGTTGTTTACATTGCAGTTTTACGATTCAGGAAACTGCATCAGTTGTTATGTCTTGATTTAACAAACATTATAACAAGTAACATAATTTTTAAAGATCAATTTTATGTGTAATTTTTTATGAATATTGATCAGTCTCCCAAGCCCACTGATAATCGCTGACGCAAGCAAGATCGATCAACAGACGGATTATTCAATCAATCGCTCCAGCACTACAAGTGAGTGAGTGAGTGATTATTGTTATCACGCTTTTAGCAATATTCCAGAGGACACCAGAAATGGGCTTCATACATTGTACCCATGTGGGGAATCGAACATGGGTCTTTTCAAGCGTGACAAGCGGACACTTTAACCACTAGGTTACCCAAGCGCCTACACTACATACACATGCACTGGACTAGGATGACATGTGTCAAAGATCAAATGTTACACTTGTATCTACCCAAGGATGACATCACTTGATATAATCCATCCTCACAACTGTATGTCAAATCTCTGGTCAAGTGTTAGAAATTGCCTGTCTGACAGTGTGCCATAACTTCAAGAATGAAGAATATAACAGGGACACTTGTTTGGTATCTTGTGCGTAAGTCCTGCACATTGGTCACTATAAGCTGTTCGCTGGTCTCGAGGGGGGACATGGGCTGATGTACCCTCGATGTTTGTTTATGTTCCCTGAGCCCAAAGCGCCCCGAGGGACCAGTGAACAACGTATTTATCTTACCGAACACCTCAATGGTAATTTTGAACTGTTTGAAGCACGGGTATCAGATCATAGTATGGAGTACCAGACGACAAGATGACAAGAAAAACAAATTTAGAGTTATCTCCCTTAGATCGATTTGCATTCACAAAACATCGGTAATTTCCGCACATCATACGTGATTCAATGTTATTCGAGATAAAGAATTACTACTACGATGTACCAAATGAGTTCGGCATTCCCAGCGGGGTACAGAGAAAATGTTACTTGCTTGTAAGCGGGGTACATTGAAAATAATAGAAGAGCGCTCAGCCAATCAGAAAATGACATTTATGTATGAGGTAAGATAACATGCCGTGTATATGGGGTCAGTCATGACATGGACAGATACACTGCATGCTCTATCTATACAGCAATCAGGCCCTACTGGACACAACACTGTGGTACAACAGGGCCAGTTTGTACCTGTAGTTGATATCTTGCAGCCCAGGTGGGAACATCAGCGGTGGATGCCCACCTCTTTCTCATGTTTCCTTGCTCCAGGAATCCGAAGACAGCACATCTCTTACAGTGTACAAGCAAAGAGTGTACAGACTTGTGGTGGAACAATCACTTTGATACATACAGTACCCATTGACAGTGTGTAGCATCATCTACAGAGTCAGTACTTGGACATATGCATCTAACAGCTATGAAACTGTTGATTACTAGTACTAGGCCAGAAGCACATTTTCTCTATTATTAGACCAAAACAATCAAATTAATGTCATAGACAAACTTAAGAACATGTATTTAAAGTGTTGCCATTGATTGGTGACTGACCTGGCAGATCTTGATTCTGTCGAGAACCTCCAGGCAGGGGTAGAAGAAGTGGGAGAGGAAGTGGGTGACGTTGCCCCGGTACTGGGATGCCAGACACACCCCAGCCTGGATGATGGCAGTGGGAGCAGCGTCACCGTACAGGTCATGGAGGCTGGAGGCGATCAGTTCCTGTATGTCCGGCTCATCCGAGTCCTGCACACAACAATATCAAGCTACAGCTATGCTGACTACTTATGAAGGTGTGCATGTTCTACATGTTTGGATGTGAATGAGGCCTCGAATTGTCAGCTAAAACTGCCATTGAAGATAGTGTGCTGGAACACAAGTATTAAAAACACGTATGTAGAAGGTTCACTTGATACATCACTTGGTTGTGATGATTTTAAAGGGGTGGGTGGGTGGGTGGGGTGTGTGTTTCACCCAATTTGTTCTGGGGAGCAGAAATTATATATATAAAATTATGTTTCAAATTATGCTTAGAAAATTATGGGAAGGGGAAGGGGGTCATTGCTTTTGAACATAACATGCAGGGGGGCCACTTATTTTGTACATAAAATGGGGGGGGGGGTGTCCATCCACATTGTACATGCTTCTCCATAACACTCATCATCACCCCCCTAGCCATAAATTATGAATGGTCCCTTACAGCAATATGACAGTATGTCAGTTTAAAGGTCACATGCAACCAAAAAATCAAACATAACTAAAACACAATTATCACTTCTTCATGACATATAATATGCATTGCTGATTATGAAAAGACAAATAAACAAAATTATAAGCGTATAATCGCAAATCAAATGTGCAATATTTTGTACTTGGGTTTACCTCCCTCGAAACGAAGCAGCCGGGATACCGAACCCAGTCAGAGCGGGTGGGTGTGCAATCAAGTGTAACGGCTGGTTCATTTGCAGATGCCTTCACGGCTAATTGTGTGTATATATATATATGTAAGGATGTTGGGTTTTGTAAATACATGCTCATTTTTTGTGTATAACATTTTGCAATCAACAGACATCATAACATGTCATGTGTTCAAGTATCACACCTGCCTGTCTGTGTAATTACATAATGTGACAGGGACCGAACTCGGGCCATAAATCAATGCGTTTTGTTTATGGTGTATAGCCTGATTGGTGTTAAGTTCAAATTGCATGTGGTCAGTGATCGCAGTTGTGTATTGAATATTGTCATTAGCAGACAGGCAGGCAGACACACAGGTGTCAATAAAACAAGACATTGAGATTTGTCTGTGACAGCTTACATATCTATATCACAGTTAGAAATTGTGTCAACGCTAAATAATGACATTGCTTTTAAGTATCGAACTGAGAAAGTGACTCGGTAAGAAGAACGTGTGGTGAAATAGACAAATGAAATTATATAAACAGTTCATTTACTGTCATAACGTATAAAAAGCTCGCGCCTGTGAGATATCAACAAAACATTATGAAAATAGCTCACACCAAAACCTTCACCGAGTATTCACCAGACAGCCCGCTTCCAAGTTGCGCGAACCTATTTCACTGCGCACGTGCTATGAGCGCAGCCCAGCTGTTGAAACCCGTATTCCCCAGAAAAGTCTGGGGAAAATTAGTGAAACGTTTGAACTCCGATGTCGCGCGTTTTTTTTCATCATCGCGTTATTTTTCAACTTTATAAGTTGAATTTGCATTTTTGACGCTTTGTTTCGGTATGTCCATACCGAAAGGTATCAGAATCTGCAAAGTTGTGTTTTACGTTGCATGTGACCTTTAAGGGGGCAATGAGGTAAGCCAGTACTGATGTGTTCACCACTTTGGTGAGACTCTGCAGAGTGTGGGTATACTGCTGACAAATGTAGAAACACAATCTGTCAGAACATGGTCTTCAACCCATAATTACATGTTTGGGGCATGACAAACAGATGAAGTTCTGCAGAACAAATTCTGAGGTATTAGATGACTTGACGACTCCTGACAAATATACAGAGAAGGGAAATTTGTGTCAAAATGCACTATTGAACAGGTACTCATGTCCTTAAACATCATATTTAAGGGAAAAAACTAAAAATGTTTGACATTTCACTACTAGTGATGCAAAGGATTTCTGACAAAAAAGACTGAGGAAACATTGTCACGTCTTCTATAACATTAATACAAATGACATATGACACCCCATGTTAGTTTTCGCTCAACAGTTATTCAGTGTTTTCAACTTGAGGTTTGTGTCAGCTGATCACTGTGGCTTTACAGTTGCTCACAAGAGTTGTCTCCCTTGAAACATCCCATGCACATTGCTTCTAAATACATAAATAATGAAAGTGTTTTTAAAGAAGCTGCCAATAAAACACTTTGAACAAATAAAACACTTCTGAATATTTAAAACAAATTCTTGCAATTACCAAACAGGCATGGGTGACAACAACACATTGAACACAGCTATGATTATACAATGCCATTTTAGAAAGTGGTCAAATGGAACATATGTTATATTTGGGATTACACTTTCTTAGTAAAGTACAAATTCTCATACTTTTGGGGTTGAAGAATTTGCACTTTACTAACAAAGTGTAATCCCAAATATAACATATGTTACATTAAACACAATTCAGACCATTGGACATAAACCAGCTCTGTATTAAACACACACAGATTGCAGTGGGCTGACCTACAACAGACTGTCAGGAGCTGACAAACAGGTCCGAGTTGTGTTACATTAAATATTTATTACACGTTGTCAACAACCTGTACATTTAAACTTAATGCTCAGCGTTATCAGTTTTGGAATGCATTATGGGATGACCAGGAGCACTAAGAATGCTTAATTTTAGATCTGTGGTGATCTAGACTTGCTAAATCATTCTGGGCTTGAGTTGCATTAGTTCTTTAACATATTCCCCAGGAACTGGGACAAGGTTTTCAGGCAGTATATGACATTTTCTTCAGCAACTCTGAAATTTTACTGCAATTTTTTTGGCATAGACTATAAAATCAGTATTGCTGAGTAATTTCACTTTGAAGATGGGTTTGGGTATTGATATCCTTGGTTAATGTAGGAACATGACCGCTATACTGCTGGGGGTTACCAAGGTTACAGCTTTATCCCATTCTGTAACCATATGTGAAAGGTATTGAGGAAATGGGATACTGAACGAAATCTATAAACATGAAAATTACACAATGATTTCATGAATATTTAATCTATTATGACTCATAGAAAAGATTTAAAAGGTTAAGAACATGTACATAAAAATCTGTTCTTGACAAATCACCTTCTAAATCCATGTACACATACTAGAACTGGGACATGTGGGTACAGAGTTGAGTTGAGTTGAGTTTTACGTCACATCAGCATTATTCCAGCAATATAGCGATGAGACCAAGTCCGCATTCATACACTCACAGGACAACCTGGTTTGGTGGCTGGTCATCTGATACATTTGGGGATATATTTTGTTTAGTCATACTTTTCAGGAATGGGGGTAATGCCAATTAATACTTGTCAGAATGGTACGCAAAGTATTTGATCAAAACTAACCAATTGTCAGACTTCCAGTTTGTGGAAGCCCTGATGGCCGAGTGGGTTGAATCACTGACTTTTGTGCTTCCGACTAGGTGCCTTACTCTGAGAGTGTGGGTTTGAATCCAAAATTAGGATTCAACTAAATACAGGCTAACACTCAGTACTTTACTGAGGAAATGGAATCCAAATATAACATATTTTTCATGTGATATACTGTTAAATGACTCCACATAGGCTCCTTCTGACTTTTGTTCTTTAATATTTATACTTTTATTCTTGTACTTTCATTCCATTTTAATCCAATGGAAAACATATGCTTTGATCCAACAAGAGACGTATGTAAACTGTGACTGGTTCAAAAAGTGCTGATTGATTCAATATCAACTACATGATTTTGTCATGCTATCGACTATGCATTGCAACTGTTTAGTTTACAATAAAACAGCATGCACATGATCACCTTGCTGTCAAACGATTCCAAAACCCACGTGTACAACTACGTGCCACGTCTGGGTGCTGTTGATGGGATGACGGGGGACGTCATGTAAACACGTCAGTCACGCTTCAAGGAACAGAGAACGAGACGTTCTTACTCATCCAATTGGTAATGATTAGATAATGTCTGCGCATCCCCGGAGCACTGCCGCCGAATGAAATACTCCGTTACCATATTCGAATGTAAAACCTTTAGATGTGGGACTTTACTAACCTCTAACAAAAGTTCCATTGTCGGCAAATAAACCTCAAAGAAGCATCGCCAACACTGCGAATTTGACCGCCATACGAGTTAGTTCTCAAAATAGACTAGACCGGAAGAACAGATCGTTTGGAAAGGTATATTTACAAGTTTCTGAATTCATCGGTTTCAGAAACATTTTAACAATATTACATATTTGCACAAAATATAAACATATATATTGTTAATTTCATAATGATTCATCCTCGATTATAAACGTACAGCGACTTTAACATTGTGATTAGTAGCCTAACACCCCTATACTATTTTGAACTAGTCTGGGTATCCCCTTTGTTGACGTGCTACTATTTATAGAACGCTAGCGGCAACACCATCAGACAAGATTATTGATTTCTTGTCCTAAGATGTTACATCACTTGTAGCAAATTGCAGAGTGACATTGAATAACCGGAACATCTCCGTCTAGTGACTGAAAGAGTGAATACAATTCACTGCCATGATAAATGGGATTATATGTTATCGGACATCATATACGTTTTTAGATACAGCAGTGTTATATTACCGTTATATATACAGTAACTAATTGTGTTGCGCCACGCAGACATTGTAAGATGTCACGTGTTTGAGATAAAATTCTTTTTTATAAGTTAGTAAGACGTTTAACAGTTGTCCGGGAGATTAGCTAGAAAACAACAAATGTTTCCTCAATTTCCGAAAATCCATACACAATGGCCCGAACAGCCCACAACACATCAAAATATGTAAACATGAAAATTTCAAGATGATATTATTAATATTTAATCTATGATTACTCATAAGAAACATGTAAAAGGTTAATAAGATACATTGGCGGATCCAGAAATTTCAAAGGGGGTGGGTGGGGGGTGTTACTAAGACACCGTCAGTGACAGTATACCTTGATGGCAGTTTTCAGCATTACAAGCCCCTGGGATCTTATACACATGGCTGACATGTTTTACACTTGTTCATG